GAACTGTGGAACTTCACTGGCATCAGCTGAATCTCTAGTTTAATCATTTCATGTATTTCACAAAAGAAGCCTAATTATTATGTAATGGCAGAGTTATAGTTCCAGTGATTTATCAGTCCTCTAAATTGGCCAGCTTCTTCCCAAACACTTCCAATAAAATACTCTTATACTAACATATACATTACCAGTTAAAAAGTACCATTAGGAAAGAAAAAAAAAGTTTTTACGGGAAAATATGATCTGCTAAATATAAATTAACAGGTTTTACTCAAAGACATTGCATTTCTTATGATCTTTTAGGATAGACTACAGAACACACTTCTGTGCAGATTCACTCATTAGTGATGTTTAAAGAAGATGAACTCTTTCTTGTACCTTTCTGCTTTGGCTTTAGAGAGCTCCTTGTATGTCTGCAACCGCATTTGAGAATAAAAGCTTAGGTGCATCCTTCCCAAAAAAAAAAAAACAAACCTGAAGAACAAAAAGAGAGAAAGGAAGAGCAAAACAAAAAAACCAACACACAACCAAAGAGCACAAGAGAACAAGAAGTACTTCTATTCTTCAGTTCTTGCAATGTTCTGCTGCCTTCTATTACTGCAGCTGTAAAAGCAGCCAGGGAGCCAGATGGTAATGTTAATAACCCAGGGTCTCTTGCCAGCAGCTTCCTGCAAGTGCAGGAAGAGATTGGTCAAAGGCTAATGCAGTCTATTCATTAATGTCATGTTTTCCTGTACCTAACCCCAGTGACCTCTGAGTGGTGAACATCACAATTTCCTTGGGAAGCTTGTTGACCCAAGAGTCAGGCTTTTGTGGCTTCAAACTTAATACTTGTTTGTGGTTCTCAGCCTAAAGCACTTTAAAGTGCTATTCTCTACAGGCTTTTGAGCAAGCTGTGTGGCTTTCCATGGGTGTTGGCACAGTCAAACTGGAATTCATTTTTCTGCACTAATATCAATTTGAAAAAGTCCTAGTTAACAAGAGGTTAAAAGTCTTTGTTGGCTTTAAAAGTTGTGGTTTAGATACAGTCTCTGTACCTGAGCCTTCATCATATCATAGGAGTCCTAGATAATGCAGTTTGGAAGGCACTAAAGGACCCTTATCTCTCAAAGAACAACCATCTTGTGCTGGTTTGGGTTTGGATTTTTTTTTGGAAACTGATCTAACTTTATCAGCATGAAGAGAGAGAACAGATCACAGTTTATGGAAACTTTGATTTCAGTTCTTTAAAATGAACATGTTCAAAAATATTAACCAAAATGAAAAGTTAAAAACAATAAGTATAAATAGGAAAAGTTTATGAAGATTTCCAGTATGTGTAATCTCCTTGGCCACAGAACAGGAACTAGAACAGGGTCATAAATCTGTGTTGTAAATATTTCTTATAGAGAAAAATAACATCAGAGTTTCTCATACACAAACCAAATTAGACTACTTCTGAGATACGTACCCCCTGTGTATATAAATTTTTCCATGAGTGCTACCTGTATAAGTGTAAGTTTAGTGTATATATAAGTATATATACTAAAGTGTAAGTCATAGTACATCAAGACCTCTATGTTTCAGAAATAAGGTGTTAAAGTATAGTGCAAATAAAAGCTGAAAAGTTGGTAATGAGTTAATCCTGTCTGCTTTATAAAATGCATTCCATCCTGCTTTCAGGTGGGTGCATGTACTTTAAGTAAATTACACTTCATGTTGCTTGAAAGTAATGAATGCTAATGATAGATAATAGTGTTTTGTTTCCAATTAGCACTGCCAAGAGAGTCAGTGGTTTCTAGAGCTCATGATCACTATATTTTCCAAGAACAGTCTGAGAACTATAAAATTATATAAACAAGTATTATTTATGCTGGATGCATTTGCTGATTGCTTCCTTCTCAGTTGGCCATAATGCAAATGGAACTACATCTTTCTGTAGTTCAGTAATTTTTAAAAAAATAACCTCATGTTTGTAAAGCCATAATCTATCACATATTTTTTATAAATATCACCCATTGTTTACTTTGCTGTAAAACAGAGGAAAATTTCTACTACTAATTTCATATAATAGATTATAGTGACTATTCAGAGAGCTTTAAAATAAAGCAGATGAATGGGTAAGCAGTCTGGCCCACAAAATATGAGTTTAAGTCTGGTGTTTCATTGTAAGAAATAAGTTTTGTTCACTTACATATTCTTCAAAACATTTTTCAATATGAGTTGGCAAGAAATTTAAAATGCCATTTTAGCTCAAATCTACAAAAAAGATGTTATATGTAAATAAATTTGGAGGACTAAGATGACAATCATGTATTGTGCTATGAATTACATGTTTTCAGGAATGTGTTAAGTATTGTGCTCACAGACATCAAATACGCAGTGTGTAACAAATTACTTCCTTTTTATAGTTGTAATACAGATTGTTTTTTATTTTATGGTTGTTTGTGTATTAACTTAGCATTCTGTTGATAATTCTGTTTCAGTTCAGAATGTTCACTGCAGGATTTTTATCTCATATCCTTATTATCTCTATTTCTCAAATAAAAACATACAACACCAATGATGTAGCAATGAATCTTTTATCTGTTCTTGCAAATCTTGTGTTCTGCTGGATGTTATGTTGATGGGTAATAGCTCAAGGCCCTCATCAGAGATCACTGAAAGCAGGACTGCTGTAGATAATTTACTGGCCTTTGGATTGGCCTCCTTCTAAAGCTAACCTTTGGAGGCAGCACCTTTGGTTTGTAAAAACCTATCAGGAAGAAGTATTAGCATCTTATTTGCTGGCAGAAGATAGGAGTTCTTGTGTTTCTTTTCTTTTAACACCACTCAGTAGTCTAACACCCTCCTCTACCCAGGAAAGCAGGCAATATGCCAAAATGCAGCTTCTAAAATTAGGTTTTCATACGCTGTCTGCCAGCACTGGGTGGTATGTCGTGTCTGTTCTGAGCAGTGCAAGTCATTTCTTACATCCAAGCCATGAGCTATGACTGGATAAATGATTTAACCTTGATGCTGCAGTGCTTTACTTCACCTTACTTAATCCTGTAATTTCTTTTAATTGGCTACTAAAATGATTGCAAAATAATACAGAATTAATATTGTGTTCTACAAATAAAAGATGGATTCTTCCTGTTGGTTTTTTGCACCATTTTAGTAGGAGGGTTTTTCTATTTAGATAATTAATTTTCAAGCAGTTGGATGGTTTCCATTATCTGGGAAGTCTTGACAGTGATTGTGCCCTGCAGAGCTTGGTTGGGATTGGGAAAAGTCTTCACTGAAGTGTTCATTTCATTTATGTCATACTTATGTCCATTTTCTGCAACTGCTTTAGCAAATAAATTACATCTCTCTGAGATACTGGTGTAATTGTAATTCACTCACATTAATGACTTCTGATAAACTACTGAGTTATTGCACAACGGTTATAGTTACAGTTTCAGTTAAAAAAAAAAAAAAAAAAAAACACCAAATCCATGGATATTTGTGGCCAAAAGGTCTGAGAGCTATCCCTAGCCATTCAGTGGATGACATGAACCAAGTAAAAACAGCTTGACTGTCAGTTATCAGATACATGCAGTCAGTGTTCTCAAGTGAGACAGAGAACATGAATCATTCTCAGAAATTATTCCAATAATAGTTATGGATAGCTATTAAGTTCAAGAAATTTAAAATCTGATTACAGGCTGTTTGTGAACAAAATTTAAATTAGGTTAAGAAAATAATTGTTATTTGGTTGTTTATCTCTATTGCACTTCTGAAATATTTCTACTTGCACTCCACTGTCAAATAAGCTTCTCTCTCAAGTGTAAACTAATATTTTTAAAACAATAATCCAATATAGAAAATGGCCTGAGCAATAATGTTATAATTATAGCAATATTGAGCTTCTTGCCTGCTTCTGCTCATTTTGCAAGAGTCTATCTCACTCAGTGTCCAGGGAAAAAGAAGCAGAAATAACAACAAATAAAAACTATCAACACATAAAGTGTTACATTTTCTGTTTGGTTCACTGCAGATTGAAGAAATACAGTCTAGTGGAGCTCATGGAGTTTGTAGATTTTTCTGGCCAGAGCTGATTCTTGTACACTTACCTGTTACCTGAGAATAGAAGTAGCCTGATCTTGAATTTGGTACCAGGTACCAAAAACAGAATGCAAACTATAAGTAATAATAGCAGTGAAGCAAAAATGTGAATAATTCCCTTTCCATTTAATTATGTCTCAGAGGCTGCATTTTCTGGATTCCACTCCACATAATAGCTGGGAATTGCTGATTATCAGGATGTAACTATTATCTGAAATATTTTGATAACATGTTAATATGGCTATACATAATTTTTGAAAACAGTGAAGAAGTGAGTTTTAGATGGTTAAGTGTGATTTTGCACTCATAGACCCTCATTTTTATTTCAATTTGTGTTTTATTTATCATAGTATAAAACTTTCCATGGGCGTCCAATAACTACATAAGGAAAAAGGGCCATGGAGAATCAAATTTCTCTCTACAGGCAGTAGGAACATGCTTCTTCTTCAGGATCAAAGCTGGAAACCTGTCAGTGTTTTTGGTAAAGTTAAGTAGTTTACAGGTTCCTCACTATACAGTACAGTCAGCTTTGTGAAAACAAACCACGCTGAGTTTGGTAGCACATAAATGTTTAGAATTATAGGTAAATGAGGATGACACCCTTTTGTTGGTGTGAATGATACAGTGGTCTTTTTTCCGACCTCATTTTTGCAGATAGAATTTCTCTCAGTCTTTGTCACGTCTCCAGGTTTACATATTTAGAATCAAATTTAGATTTTATGCTGAGTAGATAAGAAATGTTGTGTACTGTACAATATATTTTATTGTCACTGATACCTTTTCTTTCATATCTTTAAATATTCCCTATGCCTGAAACTAGCTGGACTAGGCTATGATGTCAAAGTGTTAAAATGGCTTTTGTCTTGTGAGCTGTGTTTTTGTTTTGAGTTGGTTACCCGTGATAATAGTGACATGGTTATCTGAATCTGTTACAGTGTGCCTGAATATTATGACTATGATCACGGAACAAGTGAAGAGGCTTATGACAGCTACGGTAAGGTCTCTTCTATCTTCTGCAAATGTGTGAAATCAAAGGAAAATATCTGTCACTGGCAATTCAGAAATTACTTGCATATACTTTTCTTTATTTCTCTCATTTTGCAAAGACCAAACAAAATAGATTTGTGTAACTTTAGGGTGAGTTTTGACATAGGACCAGAAAACTGGACTGATGAATTTCAATCAAAATTACAAAGCCAGTTACTCACAGTCACAGGTCAACTTAACAGCAACACAAAAGTTTCTACTGGTGTTTGAGTATCTTTCAGAAATTTCAGTCTGCTTGATTTGACAACAAAACTATGCATCTTCTGTTGTCATGTGCATCATTTCAACTAGCAAGGTTTGTGAGATTTAGAAATATATACTTAATTAAAGTGGAAAGAAGGAGAGGGTACTTATCACCATGGGAACCCCTCCTGCACCAAGATAAAGGAGCATCTCATGCCACAATAGGCGGTATGAGTAGAGGGAGGGCTGTAGGCTTTGCACTTACCCACCAAGTCTGTGTCTGAGCTGGAACAGTTCCACTTCATGGGTATGGGGGGCATGAATTGAAGTGTAGCTCCCATGAGTCAAAACCATTTTCCAGATCTGTTGTTTACTATATTTCAATAACTAGATTCTAGACCATGTTTTCATATTAGTAATTATCAGTACATTGTATCACATAGCACAGTGAATCTCACCCAGAGATTTTCACTGAAATAACAAGTCAGCTTAAAAAGTGACCCTAATATTCAGCAAAGCTTTCATGCCTGATTTACTGCTTTTGAAGTATCCTAAGTCTACATAGTGACTTCCACAGCATTGTGAAAATGAGAGCTGCTGGAAATGATGCTGCAAATGAAAGTTACACTAAGGGGTTATTTAAGGGTTGATGCTTGAAATAAATAATTTTATTCATGCAGCTGTGAAGCAAATGTCACTAATGCTAACTTGCAGTTTCCTTTGTATTGGTACAGAAATCGGCATTAGTGAGATGTTGTCAAAATGATTGCACTGCATAATCACAAATAACTTAATTTTTTGTACAATCAGTTCTCACAATATATTTGGATGATACAATGTGCAGTCAAGCACATTTTCAGTGCTAGGCAGGTAATAATAATAGCTTATCCCTATCAGTATAAGTGGTTCAGTTACCCTTTGTTGTGCTTCCTTTTTGCACATACATTTTTAATAGCTGTAGTGGAAGATCCTTCCTCCCATCTACAGATCCCCTCTCCACTGCTGTCCTGAATGCACTGCTAAGCTTTTAGGCAATACAGAAAGGAATACTCTGAGCTCAGCAGTAAGAATTATTCACTGTTTAACTTTTAATCACACTCCACCATGCTGAATCTCCATGTGTTTGTGCAAGACATTTAAAGCAGTGTCACTTTCCTTCCAATCTCTCATTTGTAAAACTAGAAGAATATTACTTGTTTTCCCAGCAGGGATTTTGAACTGACTAATTAGCTAAGGCTTACAAAGTGTTCACAGAGTGGCATCATGACTAAGTTTATGCTCTGCATGAAGCTCCTTCTTTTTTGTTTTCCTTTCAGCAGCTGAAATAAACCCAATGTGCCTGGGTTTCCTTTGCTGAACTTAAAATACATAACTGTGGACTTGCTTTGACTTTTGCTTGAGCTATTTTCTGAGCTGGCATTTGCATACAAAGATCTGTGTTATCAATAACCTGGAATAAACTTAAGGTTGAATAATATTTCACATTGCAATTTTGCTGCTTCCTGATAGCAGATACGTTTATATATAACTGTTTATGCTACTCTTGGTTCACTTGCTTTAGGACATTAGTAAATTTGCCAATTTGATGTCCTGAAAATATGTGCAGGAACTTTTGTAATTTCCAAGTCACCACTATTTATCTGAGGAGGTAATCTGAATACACAGAGCTATAGAGCTATAGAATGTATGCTTAACTTCCTTGGTTTCTGAGTTCTTGCTGCATACACTATTGTTCTCTCTGTATCTCATCTATCACGCCTTCTCATCCTCACCTAACATTACCCTAATTCTCTGTATCCAGTTCTCTTCTTTTTCAGGATGTTTTGTAACTCATTGTGAGTCTCCTGAATCCATCCCACTGTATTAAATCAGCTACCCCTTCATTTTTCACCATCCTGCAGAAATTAATTTTTTTTTCATTTGAGTTCAATTTCACACCGTGTTTTGTCTTCCATAACAAGGCTATATTCCTCCTTTACAATTCTTTTGGGCACACCTCTGTAATTCAAAATTCTCCTGAACTCTGAATAAGACCACAGACAAATGGTACACAAATAAAGTCTTGTTGTCAACTCTTAGATGTTTTGTGCAACAACTGATCTTTTCTCCCTTATCATTTTCAATAACAATATCTGAATTATCAAACATTTACTAGCTTGCCTTTTTTTTTAGTTTCTTCCATGCTTCCTCTTGCTTCCAACTTGTCTGTAGGAAGGATGGTTTTCAATCCTGAGAAGGGTTTCTTTCATTTTTCGTGGAGTAGATTCAATGAAATAGTAACGCTACTTCATACTTACAATCTTTTTTTTAAGTATAAAATAGAGTTCTCTGTAGCCTCTTAAGTATAGAGCACAATAGTACTCCTATATGAGCTGCCTGCTATTACTTTTCTTGCTATCTGTACTCCTGAGAAGTAGCAGGTGGTTTACATCTCATGGGTTCTTCTCTGCTCCTTTTAAAAGAACTTGTGGAGAATTCTGATTGGGGAAACTGTTTCCTCAGAAGAGCATAAGATTTATGTATTTATGGATTTTATGGATTTGTGTATTTATGGATTTATTTGTTTTTACCATTATGTATTTATTGTTCCAAAAATTAGAGGGGTGTTTCAGAGCAGAGCCCACCTGAACACCATTTAATTCTCAGGAAGTTCACGTCTCTTTGATTACATGGATGTACTAAACAACAATCTACGTCACTTGTCATAAGCTGGGCAAGATGGATTCCTAAACAGTATTCACTGCTGTAAAATCCATAACTTAACTGCCTTAACTCCTTGCTCAGTTTCTTTTTTGAAGGTTCGTAAGAATGCCATCCCCTCCAAATACAGCCAAGGCGTCTCCCAAGACAACAGGAAGATCAGGGATGTTTGTAAAATCACACTGCTTTCCATGACTGAGGATGTTCCATGAGTGAAAGTTTGCAGTATAGCACTCCCTCATGAAGTTGGACACTTAAGCTCTGTTGTGATTTGACATGCTTGTCACCCAGTCTCTCAGAAGAATCAAAGGAGAGACACTTCAAAGAATTTCCTGCAGCAGTATCTGAGCATATGGAAATACAGTACTCAGGAACTATGAGATTCCTACGAATTTTTTATAAGATCAGGATTATACAGCTACTGCTAGAGAATTTTGAGTATCACTGTTCTAGGCTGGGAAACATAAATTTGGGACATATGCCTGAAAATCTTGGGAATGTAACCCATTATAGGCTTCTTCATGTGAATTGTAAAGAAGTATTTTTAGAAGGCAGTTGTCCTGGTTCAGGTCAAATTTGGGGAAAGAACCCTAAAGGGGTTTCCTTTAGGAAAGCAGACTCAATTGGCCCCTTCCCCCCCAACCAGTTCGGGAAGGATACTTCTTTGGAGGAAAGTGGAAAAAACCTGTTTATTAAACAAGCAATTTTAAACAATATTAAACAATAAAACTTCTCGCCACTCCAAGAGAGAGACAAACTCAGGAAAAACCCCCCGGGCTGCAGCTGGGCTCACTCAGTCTCTGATCAGTCTCCCCGGTGCTGGAACTGCCGCAGCCCAGGCCCGGCTGCTGGGCCACAGGTGCTGCTGCTGCTGCTCTTCTGGGGGTTCAGTCCAGAGCAGGTCCAGAGAAAGGGAAAAAAACTACAGTCCAGGGAACTTCTTCGCCTCAGCTAGCTAAAACTAACTAGGAAAAGAAAAAAGGAGAGCTCTCTCTCGCTGTCTGTCCATCCGCAGACAACACAGTCCAGGAGCAGGAATGTGGAGGAGGGAGTGCAGTTCTTGAAAACAAACTCCGCGCTTCTTCCCCCCTCCCTTTCACTCCTGGAACAAGTCTTAAAGGTGTAGAACTTATTATTCAATATAAACAGAGCAGACGATTGGGGATAAAGGCATCATACAGTCAACCTAGGACAGCAGTTAAAAAGAAAAGGCCACTCACTTAAAGTACTATACAAATTTTCAAAAATGCAAAGCATCCTCACCTTTAATCACACTCAATAAACATGATACTTCGGTCACTGAAAGTTTTTATACCTGCAGATAAGTCTAAACTAGGGTAACGGTGTCATGTTAACTTGATGCTTATGATTTAAAGGAGAAGGCATGAAATTGGATTAATTTATGAACAAAAGGTTTATATTCTTTGCTCTCGTCATGCGTTAGTAATTTTGTGGTTTTCCTTCTGGCACTGATGTCATCCGAAGAGATATCTAGTGAAAACATGAATTTAATGATTTGTCTTACAAATAGATTAAGATAAAACATAGACCTAAAATTTGGTAACCAAGAATCTTTCCTGCCCCTATGTAATGTCATACCCAACTCCAAAAAGCATCTTCCCTGGAAAGGACCACTGTAAATAAAAAGCCCTTTTTTATCAATTCTCATTTCTTTCTCCTTTTCCCTGTTTTTTGTTTTTAGAGGAAGCAGCATTCTTGATTCAACTGCTGTGTTGTGTTAGGCCACATCAGAGAGATAACAGAGAAGAGTATATGACTTGCAGGCAAGGCAGAACCAAGAAACTGTATTCATTACATCTGACCTGCTTCACTGTTTTTTCATCTGAATCCTGTTTTGTCCTTGTGCTGAGCAGAGCATTCCAAACTTTGTTTATCAGTGGCTCTTTCTGTCTCAGCTCTCCCAAGGGCTGGAGACTCCAGCGGTGAGCTCTGCCAGTTGCTGCTGCAGAAGGTTCAAGAGGCTTCTGCCCCTGCTTCCAAAGGGAGACTGCCACATTAGTGAGAGTGTGCCTCTTGTCAGATGCCACATTTCACAGCCTGGTG